TGTCATTTAGAGAGGGGCTTTATGTCAATCTAGAGATTCAAAGTTCCCATGGAAGCAACCATGGGAACTTTGTGAAAACGTTCTACACAAACTTGCCAGGGGTAAGTCAGATAAGCTGCCTTAGGCATTCATTTGTTTATGTTGTCATATACACTGACATCAGAAGAGACACATCTGCAGACTACAGGGAGGACAGCAGAAGCTGTGCTTGGGACCTCCTAGACTCTGTCCTATGCTTCTCTCCCTTTAACTGACCTTATGTTACATAACAAATAGCAATGATTATACCAGCTTGCAGTAAATCCTGCGTCTTTCTGGTGTTGGAAATAAGCGGCTATATAACAGAGAGTGAACCCTCTAATTTTGCAGCTGTTCTAAACTTCACACAAAATAAAGCTGTAAGACTAGAGAGATGGTTCATCAGTTAAGAGCACTTGCTACTCTTGCAGAGACTTGGGTTCAGTTTCCAGTACCTACATGGTGACTCACAATGTCTGATTCTAGTTCCAAGGGATCTGACACCCTTATCAGGCTTCCAGGGACACCATCCATGAACATGGTGAACATACATGCACATAAAATATTCATGGACATCAGCATTCTTTTAAAAGTAAAAAAAAAAAAAGAAAGGCTGGGTGTGTTAGCACCTGTCACCAATCCCAACAGTTGAGAAGCAGAACCCTTTTGAGTGCAAGGCCAGCCTGGTCTACATAGTGAGTTCTAGGACATCTACGGCTATACAGAGACCCTGTTCAAAATAACAAAACAAATCCAAAGTACAGCTGTCAATGCTGAGTTCAAATGCCCAGCATCCACATAAAAAGCCAGGCATGGCCATGAGCTAGCCAATAATCCCAGTATTGTGGGGTAGAGAAGGGAAGATCACTGGGGCTTGCTGTCCACTAGCCGAGCTCCAGGTTCAGTGAAATACCCTGCACCTCAAGGGAGTAAGGCATAAATAGGACAGGACCTTCAACATCCTACCCTGGCTTCTGCACCCCCACACACATGTACATACACACCACATGCAACACACACACACACACACACACACACACACACACACACACACACACACACACACACACACACACACACGGATGGGATCCAGGGTCCTTCATGGATACCGAAATCTTTATCTTTGAGTGCTCAAGTCTCTTAGGTGAAATGACATGGTGCTTTGTGATCTACCATCTTTTTTATGAGACAGGGTTTCTCTGTGTCGCTCTGGTGTCCTCTAACTTGCTCTGTAGACCAGACTGGGCTCGAACTCAGAGATCCACCTGCCGCTCTCTGTCTCCCCAGTGCTGTGATTAAAGGCACACAACCACCACTGCCCGAGAACTTTCACTTTTTAAAATTATCCTTATTTATCTTATGTGGGCTTAGGAGTGCCACTGCATGCATTTGGAGGTCAGAGAACAATTGGACAGTAGGTTCACTCCTTCCACCACGTGGGTCACAGAGGATTGAACTCAAGTTACCAGGCTTGACAATAAACGCTTTACTAGTTGACCCATCCTGCCAACTCACACAAATGGTTTTTTTCGAGGATATTGATTACTTTAATCTTTTATTGTAGTTTTTTTTTTCTACTTGCTGATTTTCATTTTTGAGGTACAGAGGCTTGAAACTAGGGCCTTGCACATACTAGACAGTGTTATAAGCATAACCCTTATCACAGGTTCTTTCTATTTATTTTATTTGAAACAGGCACTTTCTGTATAGCCCTGGCTGTCCTGGAACTTTCACTTGCTCTGGCCTCAAACTCAGAGATCCACCTGCCTCTGCCTCACAGGTGCTGGGATTAAAGGACCCAGGTTCAGTTCTCATGGTGCCTCACAATCGTCTCTAACTCCAGTTCCAAGGAATCAAATGCCCTCTTCTGACCTTTGTGAGCACTGCACACAGTGCATCTACATACTTGTACACATAAAGTAAATTTTTCAAATAAAAATAAAATTTGGCCGGGCGGTGGTGGCGCACGCCTTTAATCCCAGCACTCGGGAGGCAGAGCCAGGCGGATCTCTGTGAGTTCGAGGCCAGCCTGGACTACCAAGTGAGTTCCAGGAAAGGCGCAAAGCTACACAGAGAAACCCTGTCTCGAAAAACCAAAAAAATAAAAAATAAATAAATAAATAAATAAAATTTGAAAAAGATATTAAAAAAAAAATACCTAGAAGACAGTAATGGCTCAGTTGGTAAGTCTCTTATAAAAATGAGGAAACCTGAGGTCAATCTTCCAGAACCCATGTTTTAATAAAACCAAACAATACACTGATGATAGTGGTGCTTGTGTAATCCCAGTACTGGTTGGTGAAGCAGTGATGGTGTGTCCCTGATTGAGGTTCCCTCTCAGCCAGTCTAGGCTAACTGGCAAATTCTAGCCAAGCGAGAGTCACCATGTCAAAGAACAAGGAGACAACCTGAAGTTGACCCCTGGCTTCCACCTTCAAGCATATACATGTGCACCTTCATGTGCACACATTCACACATGCAAACACACAGAAAACCCATTCTTCAAAATACAGCTCCAATGCTCTCTTCATAAAATTCTTTAATTATCCCATCAGGAATTTCCTTAATCTGTAAGGCTTGAAGTAACATTTCAGAAATGTCTGCCTTAGATAAAAACCATCAGTACCACCTTCTCTTTGAGTATGATGAACTCCCATAGAGCATGGGCATTATGATTTTTGTATTCTTCATGGTACCTTGCATGTTGTTGTCTAATAAACAACTTTAATAATGGATAAATTCTAGACACTTAGAATTGCTCATTTATATTTTCATTTTCCTTCTTTCCAAATGATAAGAAGCTTGTGCTAAGAACAGCTATGTTTCCTATTTTTAGTTTAATTTCTTTTTAGTTTCTTATTAAGAGTCAACTAAGAAGGTCTCAAATGACGGAGCTATGGACAGTATCTAAGCAAGAAATTGATAGGGTCAGATAGAGATCAGATCAGTACTAAGAGATAAAATAGTAAAATAGAACCTGGTGGTGGTGACACACTCCTTTAATCCTAGCACTCAGGAGGCAGAGGCAGGTGGATCTCCGAGTTGAGGCTAGAATTCATGATCCTCCTGCTTCAGTGACTTCCATATTGGGAATGACCTGCACCCCCAGGCCCAGGCTTCAACTGTTTTTGTTTTTCAAAAATGGGGTTCTGTGTTTCGTTTTCTTATAGGAATAGGCACAGTAGCTCAGGTGCTTTAGTTGATTATATATTAATCGTCATCACTGTTTTTAAGCATTTTTGCATAATTCATTTGATCATCACAATAGTGCTATGAAAAATGGTACTGATAATTTCAATTTCCTGAAAGAAAAAACTTGAGCAGAGGTTAAGAAACTCAAAGTCATATAGCTCTTAAGAGACAGAAATATTCAGATGGGTGTGGTAGCACATCCCTTTAATCCTACCACTGGGGAGGGATGTGCGAGACAGGCAGATTAGCAGGGCGATGATGGCCCTCGGAGGCAGAGGCAGGCAGATCTCTGAATTCAATGCCACCTTGTTCTACAGAGCTACTTCAAGGACAGCTAAGGCTACACAGAGAAACCCTGTCTTGAAAAACCAAGACACAGAAATTCAGGGAATTTAGGTCCTTGTAAAGGACTCCCCAGGGTGGTGATGCAGGTCTTCAATCTCAGCACGGAGGCAGAAGGATTTGTGAGTTTGAGGCCTGCTGGGTTATACAGCAAGTTCCTGCAAGATGGGGCTAAAGAGACCCAGGTTTTTTGTTTTGGGGTTTTTTTTGGGCGGATGGGGGTGGGGGGACATTTTCTATTTCATTGTCATTATTCATCCACACAACCTGAAAACAGTGTTTATACTTCTTCAGGTAATCACTACTCCCATTTCCGTTAGTACGTTTAGGACAGGATTCTTACTAAAAACACAAACATAGATCACACTCACCCCGAGTCTTCCTAGGTCCTTTTCTAACTTTTTTACAACATCTGGTGCCCCCCCCCCCACCTTCCCGGGACCTCTCTTGGTATTTGAAACTTTTCAATGTCTTCTTTGATAAGAAAAACTTTCCTACAACCTAAAACGATGGTAGCACTTCACCGGGTGCCATCTGATGTCCTGTAAGGGAGCTTGGGAGACCGGTCCTCAAGGAACAAAAAGAGGGTGGAAATATGAAGTCAAGAATGAGAGCTGGAAGGTGTAACATGCAGAAAAGGGAGAAAGGGGGTGGAGTGGGAGACACTGGGTCTGACTCGCGTTTCCTGAAGACGGAGTGAGAACAGAAATTAAGGAACTGGGGAGTGAGTGTGTGTGTGTGTGTGTGTGTGTGTGTGTGTGTGTGTGTGTGTGTGTGTGTGTGTGTGTGTGTGTGTGTGTATGTCGGTGGGGGGGATTCTAGTCATTGAAACCTAGTAGGTAGCATTTTGTTGAGATTTTCCCTATTATGTCTTTGACTCTCGCTTCGGAAGAAACGGACCCCGAGAGTCACAATGGCTGGGTCGGTGAGGGCCCAGCGACCCTGCTCTCACTCGCAGCCTGGGTTGGTCCCTTGTAAGCATCGCTCCGAGCCAGTCACTCTGTCAGCGGGAGGACCCACGGGAGCCTCCGGAGCCCGAAGCCAGGGCCCCGCGTCGGGGTGCCCGGGGACACTCACCTTCCGGTGGACAACCCTGAACCACTCTCACACCTCGCCGCTCACTCCGAGCCCGGCCCTGCCCCGGGAACTAAACGCGTCGGTCGCGAGCAGAAGCCCGGCGGGAGGCAGGGGGCTTACCTTTAACAGATTAGACGTCGCCATGTTCCTTCAACTTGGACTCTCGCGAGACGAGGCGAGACTTGGCGGCGCTCGGGGCCAGGCCTCCTCGGGAGGCCGGAGTTCCCAGCAGGGCCCCGCGGGTCGCGGCGGAGATACGGGGGGCAGACGCCGAGGCTGCGTGCCGTCAGCGCCGAGCTCGGTCCAGGCAGCCGTGCTCCCTCAGGCTTTGCCGCTACATAGTCCCCGGGGCCTGCCCACCCGAGAGAGTGCGTGCCGGGGCTCAAGGAGACGCGAGCGACGAATGGTGGGAAGGGGCCGGGAGCCGACCTGACCGGGAAGAGGTAGCATCGACCTCCCCGGGGCCTCCCACACTCGTCTCCCGGTGAGCCTCTGGGGTTGCACTTGCGGCGGCCACCGGCAACGACTTTTAAGTCGGCTTAGGCCTGGCACCTCGGGTTCCGTGGTGGCATCACGTGACGCTGCGGGCGGGGGCGTGCTTGGGAGCCACCGAGGAGCCTGCCAGCCGCTGGGTCCGGAGGCCCGGCCGAGGGTGGGAGGGCGCCCTCTATTGGCTGCAGCCGGCGCCGCCCCCACCCACTCGCCCCAGATCCGGGGATTGCGATTCAGAGCGCTGGGTTAGATTAGCCTAGAAGGCTATTTGCTGCTGACCTCCGTAAAGACTGACCCGGAAAATACTTGTTTAGGGAATGAGTGTACCAACGTGTTAACTGTCATCACTCGGCTCAGAAATGCCCGAATTGTTCAAGAGTCGGTGGTTATTAATCTTGGTTTCGTTAAGATGTATCCTAGACCTGGAGCATCCTATACCATTTTCTCCAAATTGTGTCGCTTTGAATCATGAATCTCCGAACAAGAGAAGAGAATATAGTTTATATAGGGCTCTCACAGGTTGGCTGTTACTGCATTGTGCAAGTTCCTAACAGTATTCTTTTGGGTTTTTTTTTTTTTTTTTTTTTTTTTTAAGGGGGGGAGGTTGTTTTGGGGACGAGTTTTTTGTTTGTTTGATTTTTAATTACAAAAATTAAAAAATTTGTTTTGGTTTTTCGAGATAGGGTTTCTCTGTGTAACCCTGGCTGCCTTGGAACTCCCTTTGTAGATCAGGTTGGCCTTGAACTCAGATATACCTGCCTCTGCCACCTGAGTACTGGGATTTTTGTGTGTGTGTGAAAGTGCTTGCCTAGCTTTTGTGAGGCTCTAAGTTCGATACTCAGTACCAAGTAAAGAAAAGAGCAACTTCATTTATAAAAATGTAACATCTGGAATACCTTAAAAAGAAAGTTCTCAGTGGTGGTGGCACAGGCCTTTAATCACAGTATCTCTGTGAGTTTGAGGCCAGCCCTGGTCTACAAAGAGAGTTCCAGGACAACCAGAGTTACACAAAGAAATCGTGTCTTGGAAATACAAAACAAAACAAAAACAAAAAAGAAAGTTCTCTACTCTCTTCCCTCCTGCCTCATAAGATCTCCGTTGTTAGAAGTGTGTTTTGATTTTCTCATTTGTTTCCTCTGTATGCATTACAGTATATATTAAAAAGTTTCTCAAATATTGTTGATTCATTGTATATTATATTAATTGTATATTAAAATAACCTAGGATGCTTTTTAGGAAAGCGGACTTTCAGGTTCCACTCTAAAGGTTTTTATTTCATAGATTAAGATACCTCAAATCTGCTTTTGCCCCAGGCATTCCAGATAGCTTTGTTTGTTTCTTTAAGAGGTCTTTCTTTCTATGTAGACTTGGATGGCCAGGATGTCTCTGTGTAGACCAGGCTGACCTAAACGACACAGAGCTCCACCTGCCTCTGCCTCCAGAGTGAGTGCTGGGATTACAGGTGTATGCCTCCAAAGTGGTGAAGAATTCCTTGTATCTGCTTTGGGCTGGGTGTGGTGGAGCAAGCCTTTATTTAATCCAGCACTCTAGTGAGTTCTGGCCACCAGAGCTATACAGTGAGACCCTGTCATAAGAAAATGGTGCCAGCCAGGTAGTCATGGCACACGCCTTTAATTCCAGCACTTGGGAGACAGAAGCAGGTGGATCTTTGTGAGTTTTAGGCCAGCCTGGTCTACAGAGCTAGTTCCAGGACAACTAGGGCTGTTACACAGAGAAACCGTGTCTTGGAAGAAAAAAAAGAAAACGGTGCTTGAGATGGGATAAGAGCTCCACTTCTCTTAGACATTGAGTGATTTACTTAACCACAGTAAGTCTTAGTTTCCTCATTTGTGAAATTAGTATGAAAGCATCTACAATCATAGAGCTATTGCAAAGATTAAATATAAAGGCTGGAGAGATGGCCCAGAGGTTAAGAGCGCTGGCTGCTCTTTCAGAGGTCCTGGGTTTGATTTCCAGAAGCTATAGGGGACTCACAAGCGGTTTCTGTCTGACCTCTATAGGCACCAGGCATGCACATGGCACACAAATATACATGCAGGAAAAAATCCATACACACAGAATTTTAAAATTTTTAAACATTAAATATGATAATGATATAAAACAATGTATGATTTATTATACATATAAGCATTCAGTGTAATAGTTAAAGAGTATAATGCTTACTATATATAAGACATGATTCTGTACATTTTAACAGATTAATACATCAAATGCTAGAATTGATTACTTCTTGCAGAGACCTTAAATATTAATTAACCTTCACATGTGAGAAGAGCTGTAAGGAAAAACAAAAAAGCAGACGATGCAGAAATAGAAGGGAGATCAGACAGGGACTAACTAGCCACAGGCCAGCCGGGGTCCTCAAGGCCCTGGCTGACAGGAAGAAAAATATGCCCCGCCTGATGAGGTTCTGCTCCTAGCCAGCCACAGGCCAGTCGGGGTCCTCAAGGCCCTGACTAGGGGGAACAATAGCCATGGGTCCGCCTGTAGCTGAAGTTTTCTCCCGTCCTGCCTGGCCCGCGGTCAGGACAAATCTCATCTGCCAGTCCCGCAGCCGCTCAGACCCAACCAAGTAAACACACAGAGACTTATATTGCTTACAAACTGTATGGCTGTGACAGGCTTCTTGTTATCTAGTTCTTCTAAAATTAACCCATTCCTATTCATGTTTACTTTGCCACGTGGCTTGTGGCTTACTGGTGCTTTACATCCTGCTCCTCATCATGGCGGCTGGCAGCATCTCCCTGCCTCAGCCTTCATGTTCCCAGAATTCTCTTCTCTCCGTGTCCCACCTATACTTCCTGCCTGGCTACTGGCCAATCAGTGTTTTATTAACCAATCAGAGCGACACATTTAATTATGATAAGCAAATGTGTGATGGACAGATGGGAGAGAAAGAGAAGCAGAATGGTTCACACTGTGGAAAGAGGCAGAAAGGAAGAAGTGAAGACAGTGAGCAGTAGGCTGGTGTTGGATGTCGGCTTGCCACCTGGGGCTGTGGTGAAAGACGGTGTGGAATAGGCTGATGGGGGAGGTCTGCTTGCCACTGAGGGCCATGTCTGGGTCCCTGGTCCTACAGCAGCCAGGGTGTGAGTTGATGTCCATGGATGGCTTCTGTTGCCATTGAGGGCCATGCTGATACCAGTGGTCTGGGCTGCCACCTGGGACCATATTGGGGGTCCGTGGACTACGATGCCACTGGGGCCATGCTGATCTGGGTGGCCTTGATGCCACCTGGGGCCATGGTGACAACCAGACCCAGGCTAATGCCAAGGACCATGTCTGGGTCCGTGGTCCTACCTCAACCAAGGTCTGTATTAATGTCCTTGACCAATGTTGTCACCAAAGGTCACATAAAGCCTAGGATCTGGGCAATACCCTGTATCCTTGTCAGTGTCCGGGGGACCATGATGCTGCCAGAGCCATTCTTATCTGAGTGGCCGGGGCTACCACTTGGAGCTAGGATGTCCACTGGGCCTAGCTGATGCCTGGGGTCATGTCTGGGTCCAGTTGGGGTATGTGTTGAAGTCTGTGGCACAGGTTGCCACTAGGGCCCACATGGAGGCCTGGGATCTGGGCCACAGCCTGCAGCCTTGTTGGAGTCTGGGGGACATGCCACAACAGGGGCCATACAGAGCTGGGTGGCCTGTGCTGCCACCCGGGGCCATGGTGTCATCCAGGGCCAGGTTGCTGCTGAGGACCATGTCTGTGTCTCTGGCCGTATAGCATCCAGGGTCCAGATTGACAAATGTGGTTCCTGTTGCCACCGAGGACCATGAGGATGCCCAGGGTCTGGTCAGTGACCTGAGTCCAGGTTGGTGTCTGAGGGCCATGATGCATGCAGATCTGAGTGGCCTGCACTGCTACTCAATGCCATAGTGATGTCCAGGCCAGAGCTGCAACTGAGGACCATATTTGAATCCACGGCCATGGCCATACTGCAGCCAGGGTCTGTGCTGATGTCCAAAGCTCCTTTTACCATAGAAGGCCATGCAGATGCCCAAGGTCTGGGGCCATGTTGATGTCTGAGGGCCACACTGCCACTGGGACCAGTGCCGATCTGAGTGGCCTGCACGGCCACCAGGGGCAATGGTGACATCTAGACCCAGCTGCTGCCAAGGACCATGTCTGGGTCTGTGGTCCTACCGCAGCTGGCATCTGTGCTGAAGTCTGAGTCCTGTATTGCCACCAAAGGTCACATAGAAGCCCAGGGTTGGGGCCACAACCTGAGGCTTTGGTGGTGTCCAGGGGCCATGCTGCTGCCAGAACCATCCCCACCTGCATGGCCAGTGCTTCCACCCAGAGCTAGGATGTCATCCAGTCCCAAGCTGCTGCCAGGAGCCATGTCTGGATCTGTGGTCCAGCTGCAGCTGGGGTCTGTGTGGATGTCTGTGGCCCATGTCACTTCAGGGGGCCACGGGAACCAGAGGAGATCAAGAGGATATACTAAGCCGGCCCCTCCCTTTGCTGGCTCAGGATAAGCTGGTCTTGCCTCTTTTTCTTTTTCCACGTGGCAAATTTATTTGGGGGCTTGGGGGGAGGGGAGAGAGAATGGAGGGAAGGAGAGAGAAGAGAGAGAGAGAGAGGGAGAGAGAGAGAGGTGCACGCTACCTCTGGTGAGAGAAGGGGGGTGGCCTTGCCTCTTGCTGGACACTAAAGGATGGGAGCTGGCTCCTGCACTCCAGAGAGATAATGGCCCCACCCCTCACCACAGGCAAGGGTGAACTGACCCTGAAGGCATGGGCATAGGGGAGCTGACTCGGCCCCCTCAACTGAGACAGTGGCCCCAGTGTCCTGGACTGACCAGTTCAGCTACCACCCAGGTCCACCCAACATCTGCCCCATCTAGGACCTGCTAGAGCTCCTGAAGGATACTAGCAGGATGTCCAAGACTCAGGGTGACCACAAGATATCGCAGAGGAGTTCTGGTGAGGATCCAGTGATGAGGATCAGAAACCAGAGGCCTTGAAC